AGTCAGTCGGTACTCAGGGCAACCAAGTAGATTGTACTTAGGGCCTTTACCGTGATCAATAAAGACATTTACTTGCTTTATTCGGTCTCGGCTTATTTCATATTGCTTACGTATAATTAGCAGTATCAAGTGCTTTGCTTCTTGGATTTCCAAGATACCAAGGCATTTCCCAAGAACGCACAAAAACCAGTCATAGATTTCCTTGTGTCAGGGCATCCTATCCAATCTGAATCAGCAAAACCACTTAGGGGGCGTTTGGTTCAGGTTATATAAGATAACCAATGTTATATTTGCTTGGTAATATAAGATTCCCATGTTTGGTTCAGGTTATGTAACTTTCACAGGGAATGTCAGATAACCTCTGAATTATGTTTTTAGCTATAGGAAGGGAATGTGAGATACCCTCCAATTTCTTAGGTAATCTCACATTCCCTTGTCTTATTACTAATGTTGGGTTTTGGACGTTTTAATCAATTTATCTTATTACCATTGTCTTATTTACATATCTTAGTTTTAAACCAAACACAGTAATCTAACATTCCCAGTAATCTAACATTCCCAGCATTCTAACATTCCCAGCATTCTAACATTCCCAACATTCTAACATTCCCTTAGGTAATCTAACATTCCGTGAACCAAACGCCCCCTTAGTTTCAAGTTGGAATCTGTAGGAAAGAAGAGACCTTGTCCAGAGCAACTTTTAATATATCTCAGCACTCAAACAATAACTCAATCAAAGAATCATCAAGATAAGGTACAACGATGTACAAGCTCACAACGATAGATCCAAGTGGAAGGAATTCAAGAAAGAGATACGTAGAAGATAATCCAAAGGCAATACTACTATATCAAAGGTTTCCAACAAGGGATCACAACGAATGGATAAGCACAAGTTATCAATTCAATCATGAAGGAAGCGAAGGTTATCACAAGGAAATCACATACTAGTACCAAGAAACAACGTTACTAGCATGCAAGCCAACAAGGTAATCATTAGGGTTAATACGAATATCACAAACTTAATCAAAATCCAACGAATAACAATATTAGATTATAACCGCGATTCAAGACTCATAACTTACCTATGGGGTTCATAATACACCGCTCTAGACTTACGAGACATCAATAAATACATGCAAATACTAGGGGATATAACAAAATGGAAGCCAACAACATCGGTACCAGTGGGTGGTTCTGGTGGGTGGAAAAGGTCCCGCCGAAATTCCACACCGTACCAGCGGGTGGTTCCAGTGGGTCCTTAACCACCCGTCGAACCCTGCTGAAACCACAATGCACTGGCGGGTGCTTTAGGCGGGTGCAATAGTGCCCGCTGGTACGCGGACCTGTGCAAAATAGGATTTCGGGGAAATTTGCCAAGAATGTGAAATCCAACTCCAAACTCATCAATACTCACATCCACAACAAATATGACTTGAATAGAATAAATAGCTCAACAAATAACATCATACAACCCTAAATACAAGCTCTAACCATAGCATAATCACAAGAATATGCATCAAACCACACATGGTCATCAAGAAATACATTTATGCAAAAAGAATATAGGTTTTGTTGGACATAGGGCCACCTCCTTAGCTTAGCAATCCAAAAATAACACCAATCTTAGGCTAGACTCAACTCATAAGCCAATCTACCGCAAAGAACCTGCAAACCAAATCGGACTTTCACTAATTTAATAAAGCTACTATCTAAAAAAGTCATATTAAACCAAAGAGGGATTTGATCCTTAGACCTTGCTAATAATCTAACACATCTCTACCAACTAAACCAATTCCCTTTATTAACTAATAGTCAACATTAATGTTAATAATTATATTAACATGAGTCCATAACTCACCTTCATCAGTTAATCATCATAATTATTATGAAGGTAATAAATGAGAGTAACCCCTAAACTTAATAACAGTGATTAATAATGTCAATTAATAATAACTACAATAAAGGCAAAACTGTAATTAAGGGATGCCAAATACAAATCTCAATTTACCACATAATAATTAACCATGATTAGTATGATACTTAGGGAGACTGAAGTTAAGGTAATAACCAAATTACCATTATACAGACAATATACCAACTATATTGTTGTTGCGTTAAAATTAAGGACTTAATATTATTATTAAGGCCCTGAAAAACTATTGATAGATTAAAATATTAATCAACTTAAATAATAGTTTGTAATTCTTAATGGCCAAAATAACAATTAAATCCTTAATGTCTCAAAACAGGCCAAGACAATAATTATAGCCTTTAGTCACTCAAATTAGGCACATAAACCTCAATGGCCCTAAGTGAATTATAACATGGATGGAAAATGGTCTAATACTGAAGTAGACCCAAAACTTAATATTATTACCAACGATGAATACTAAAATATAGTAGTTAGTAATAATTAAAACTTAATAAACATGTTATAAGGAGCTATAATTATTATTAAAATATCAATCAAAATGGTAGGATCCATACTTTAATGACCCAAGATAGGTCCCAAATATCTTGTTCAAAATAGGTTCTAAAGTCCCAGAGACACATAAAACTAAAATGAGCTCAAAATTAAGGGGAAACCAAAACAAGCTACCTTAATAGGCCATAATGCTTCAAATTGACCTAATGATCCAAAATTAAGTGATATTTTAATAATGAATTTATGAGTTAATAATATGCTAAATCCAACTTTAATACATGCTATTAAGAATGTATAATTATAACAATAATTTATGAATATACGTAGCATGTTTGGATTTGCATATTAATATATTATTATCCCATATATCCTAAATAAATTGCAATACTTCAGGCAATTTAATATATACACTTTAATATTAAATTAAAATTCAAATAGCAAATTTAAAACTTAATATTTGCCCAAATTTGAATGATAATTTAATAATAACTGAAAGAGTAAATAATTTGATCAATTGGCTAAATGAAGTCTAAATATAATGATGAAAAACTGAAACAGGCCCCAAATAAACCACATAGGCCCAAGGATTAAAAAAAATAATAAAAAATAAAATAAAAAAATAAAAAATTGGACCAGGTCTGCCTAAAATGGGCCTGACCCGGCCCATGTTTTTATTTCCATCATCATCTTCTTCCTTTAATCAGCCAACGCCAAAATCGTCGAAGAGTCCAGCAACTCGCCGGAACTTGAGGAACAACGAGCCGGAGTCTGCGTCGCCTGAAGAAGGGAAGAGGACAGCAACGACGCCGGAAATCCAGCCCGTCTTCGCCATCTCTCCTCGCCGTGACACGCCGCCATTCACCCCGGTTCGCGACGCCATAGCAGCACGGAGATGGAGAGCGGCAGCCCGTCGCCGACGTCACCTGATGAAGAAGAGCAAGCAGCAACGTTGCCGGGAAAACCCAACTTCGCCTCCACCGTCCCTCCTCTGCGCAACGCCAACAACCGCCACCTGCAATTCCAATCGCGCCACCGTCGTCGTCACCAGAGAACCAGCGCCGTCGTCTTCACTACAGTTCTCGCTCTCAGTTGCGTCGCCGTCACCGTATGCCCACCGCCGTTCATGCTTGGCTTAATAGCACCGGAGAAAAATAGATAGATAAATCCGGCGAAACAAACGGGCGATCTCCGACGCACAAATCCAGCGTACCAATGCATTGCCGGAAAACTTGAAGGAACTCAGGCAGTTTTCCAAATTCAATAAATTAAAGAACTTTCTTAATGTTGAAAATAAATTTCAAACGGTACAAAAATTAATTCTTTAATTAAACATATACAAGTTATTCAATAAATCATAACCAAATAGAGATATCTTGTATGTTAATTTTGAAGAATTAATATCCAAAGCCATATACGAAAAATTAATGTATATGAAAACTGAATATTGTTTAGGCAAAACAATCAACCAGACAGAGATTATAAAGGCTCTGATACCAAATGTTAGATATAAATAATCTAACTATAATAAACCATAGTATACGAGAAACCTGACCTCGTATGATAGCGGAAGCGTAGCCATGTAGATCTCCAACCATAGTTGATGTTCCTGTTGTGTTGCCTCTTAACGGTAGACCGTTAGCCATGTTTTGCCTCAGACCTGACTCGGAACCCTAGATGGTGTATTGGTATCTACTGAGCAGTCTGAGTACCATAACTGAATATGCTAACATCCATCATCATGTATCCCATCAATCTAGGATTATATTAGGCACAGAGTTTGGTTGACTAACAACTACTAGTTATTAAGTCCAACCAGACCACTTAATAAGCCTAGTCAACTTGCACCACTTAATTAAGGCCCTAATATGTAATATATAATATATATTATTAGGAAAAATCTTACATGATGTTCAAATGTCATAATACACAACAAAAAAAAAAAAAAAAAAAAAAAAAAAAAAAAAAAAAAAACATGAGAAGTTCCTCACTTGGACAGTTGCTTGTGCCACAGCATTTCCAACATTAGTAAGGTGAACATATAAAGAAAAATATTTCCAAGTAGTAGTATCACATCAAGTGAAGGCTTTGCTTCAAAAATAGGAATGAATTTCTGACTAATCTGAAAAACAAAGATAGCACGTTATATGGAGAGGAAAAGAACTAAAAGCATATAGAAAAGAAATATTCTCATATACTTATCCAGGTAGATGACCTGTAGGACACACTGAAAAATTAAATTTGGAATCATAAGTCATAACAGAGCCATGGTGCTATAGCCTATAGATGAACAACAACAATACATGCACAGAATCACACCTCATTCTAAGAACCTGCATATGCAAGTCCAAGCCCCATTATTGCACCAATTCTAATCGAAGCATCATCTCTGTCTATATACCTCTATAAGGAGTGCTAATGCCTGTGATGCAAAACAATATGAGATCACAATATATATTTATAAGAACAAAATAAGTCCAGTAATAGGAAAATACATAAAGGACTTACAGGATCACACTCATTCTTGATAGAGCGCCCGCAATTACATGATTGTCAGTACTGTGGAAGTACTTGTCAATTTGTGCAAGTCCATTATCGACATCCCATTGCAGGATCATACCCTAAAATGCAGGGAGAAGGCATTAGTACTACACCACTCGTATGGAAATAAATTAAAATGACAAAAGTACACACCAGACTTGCTGCAGCACTGGCTTTGCCGTGTTCTTTATTTTTAAAAAGCCAACTTGTTGAGGAGTCACCACTTGAGGCCTCTGATGGAACTGTCATTAGCTTATCCTGCAAGCCTAAAAATGGTAACCATTGTATCCATATATGCAAATAAAGGTGAGCATATACAGCTTAACTCATATTACCTGACCAAATCCAGCATTGACAAATGCATTAACAAGTGTAGCGGCCAAGTTTTGTCTTGATGAGTAACACTTGTCCCTGAACTGCCATGGCCCTCAATCAAATGGGCTTGATGAATCCAGAGAAGAATAAAAAAATCTTAGATCTTGACAACAACTAGGATGCATTTAAAGAATTGAACCCAAAAAAAAAAAAAAAAAGAAGTAGAAGATAGCAGGATTAAGAAATTTGGATTGAGCTAAAAAGAAGATTAAAACAATACAAAAATTTAAACAGGACATCAAGGAAGATGAACATAAAAGTGCACCAGTTCCCATAGAACCATTAATCCAAAATTTAGAGGGATAATTATTGCATACTAGACGTTAAATTAAGCATAATATAAAGGAGAGGTGTTATTTTAATGTGAATCAAACCTGGTAGATATCCTCGGGGGATTTGGGCTCCATCACCTCATTGTCACTTAATTTACATACCAGTAAGGGTACCTGTAAATCATAATATACATGCATTAGCTTAAGTAACACACAAATAATTTCTATTCTTTTAATTTACATACCAACCTTTTCTTGAATTGCAAAGACCTAAGCCTTATATGGTGAAATGCAGCCAACACGAACTCATTGTTTTGAAGCTAGAGATTCTAGCATCATTGAACAAAAGAAAATTAGTAAGATAAAGCTAAGAAATAGATCAGAAGAGGAATTATACCTCTATACAGCATAGCAACAATCTCAGCTACTGCAAAAACTTCTGCAATGTTTTTAGTACTGCTTTTGCCATTACGCTCCTCCTTTCCTTGGCATACGTTGAAGAAAGAAAAAGGTCCATACATATTTCCTCTGAGGAATCGCTTCTCTTATCCTATTTTCATCACATTAGGACCATTCATGACCTTCTCATCATAGAACTTCTTATTTGGGAACAAACTAATTGAGGGATGCATTCTGTATTGAATGTTGAGGAGGTGCTTTCTGTGTCCTAATTTAACCAGCCTCTCAAAAAAGCTCCTCCCAAAATCAGCCTTCTCACAAATCTGTTGAAAACAAAACACACATTAGCGGGTTATTTAAAAAAAAAAAAAAAAAAAAAAAAAAAAAAAAAAACTCAATGAACAAAGACTGTTTTCAAAAACCTTGCTCTGAACCATTGATGGGAATTGTTTCTCATCTCCAATGAGTATAGCATGGCAAAGACCAGGTAGCTGCATAGAAATAGTGGATTCACATTCTTTAAGCTGAGCAGCTTCATCAATAACCAACACCTTTACTTGCTTAAACTCTTTAAGGTGATAAGGCAATTTCTCTGTTGGAGTCATAAATTAGTGTACAATGTGTATGAAGCCGAGGCAGTAGAGAAAATCAAGACAGCTTCTTTCAAACAAAACCGTCGAATTTGAAACTTCTCAGGAAATTCTGAGAGAACAATCTTGTCACAAAGAAGTCTCAGTATTGCAACACACTCTGATTTTGTTGTTTCCAATCCCCACCTAGAAATTTTTTTTTTTTGTTCCGCTTAAGTTCATATCTCGGTATTGCAACACACTCTGATTTTGTTGTTCTCTATTTTTTGAATTTATATACCAAGCGTTTCTTGAATTCACAGTTGGACTGCTGCCTTCATCTCCAGATTCAGTACCCTAAAGCCAAAAACATAGGATGTAATTAAATAAGCGTGGACTTATGACGGAGAATTTGATAGCGAAAGAGAACCATTATGCTAGCTCTGAAACCATTTCTAAATTAAACTATCAACCCAATAAAATTTTCAATTTGCAAATAAATATTTCTTGTCAAGCATTAAGTTTTGACACCTTTCCCCATACCAAAAGCAAAGCAAATAAAGAGAAACTGTAAGCAATATCAAGCATCCATATTTCCCTTCAAAAGCACAAAGTAAATAATATGAAAAGATGTGAGCTAGGGTTCCCATATTTCACTGTAACTGGAGCATTAAAACATCAGACTAAAGCACAAGGATGATATTCATTTGCAGATAATTTGGTGTAACACCCCATGTTATGGCCTCCGAATCCGGACCAATTATGAAATTAATTCCGTTAATATATAATTAAAAAGGATTTAATTGGACCAGAATTCCCATTTAATTAATTAGTGTGGTCCACAAAGGACAACGGACCCTTATCCTTAATCAAGTCTTTAATCCGATTAGTAATGGGGAAAGTGGGTCTTTACTGTTCAGACTCTAGTTAGGACTCCCAAATCTATATATATGGGATTAGAAAGCATTTAGAAACCCTACCACAATTAACTCTACCACGCGAGAAACTCCCCAAGGAAACCTAGCAAAGGAGTTCCCCACCACCGAACCTAGGAAGATCAATTGGAGGAGAATCTTAGAGAAGAACCTTAGTAGCCAAAGATATTGATTAGGGCTAAGAGGTAACCCATGTCTTACAAAATCTATTTTTCTTGCTATACTTTGATTATTTGCTCCTTTGATGTGTGATTCTGTGATTGAGTCTTGATAGAGCTTTGCCTAGGATTTATGTTGTGTTTATTTGATAATCTTGGTGATCTTGATGATTGTGATTGATTATATGCGTAATATTGTATTTAATTATGTCTAGAGCTTGTCCCTAGGGTTTATATCGTGAATCTCGTTGTTGTGATGTTCTAGGTGTATTGGGTGGGTTTATGCATGATCGGGTGTTAAGTATAGCCTAGGACTAGTCTTTAGGGCTTTGCATATAGATTTCTTGATATCCTTGAGGTTCTGGATGCTCTTGGACCGTTATGTGATTGATGTCGTGCCTTGGCGTATTTAGGAATCGTGTTAGAATGCAATTGGAATGATTCTTGGTTCAATCTTTGTTAATTGAATCTGTGATGTTGTTGTTACGTGTCAGAATGTGTTTGGACATGGTTTTGGGTTCCACGAACGAACACCGAATCCGAATTTCACCTTCGTACCAGTGAGGGGTAGGTGGGGGGACGAGTCCCCACCACCTACCCGCTGCCCATACTGCCCGATTCCAGCGGGCGGTCGACTGCCCGCTAGAATAGGGACGCCCACCGGCGGGTGGTCCACCACCCACCGCCCACCCGTTGCAATGGCATGGTGTGGCGGGTTGTTTTTCCCCGTTTGTTTTTTCTCTGTATCCCGTTGTACCTCGTTTGACGTGTATGAGTCTCGTATGATGTTTTGAGTACCATTCTAGGAATTTGTGTGTAGTGTGTGTCGTTTGTTAATATGTCTTGATTGTTATTGTTGATTACATGATTGATTGATTGATTAATTGAATGATGATGGGTGTCATGGTTATTGCCCAATGATTTATGTGACTGATGATGATGAGATTGTGATTGGTGGAGATGAATTGTTGGCGGAAAGCACAACGAGTGCTCGGTTATCGTGCTAAAGGCACGAACCACCCCTTAGACTTGCTGGCTAAAGGCTTGGGTCAGGGTATAAGCGTCGCGGTGTCATGTTAGAGCTATATGCGCTGACCCCTTGGTATTAGTGCTAGAGGCACGGACCATGCGAATGACACTTCGGTGCTACCATGTTGGTGGACTTGTTGGTGGTTACGGAGTGGGGCATGTAGTTGCTCCGAGGAATAAGGTAGGCGATATAAGGGTGGCCTGGAGGTACAGGTTGGAACTGATATAAGGATGGAGAGGAGTAAAGGTTGAAACTTGGTATAAGGTTGGAAGATGGATTGTGTGTGCTTTGATGATTACTTGCTAATTGATTGTCATTGGATTCCATTGTTGCCTTTAATTACTATTTATGAGCTTACTTGTCTATTATGCCTTGTCTTATGTTCTTAGGATGCATGCTAGTCTTTATGTTTGTTCTATAGTGTTAAGTCTGTTGTTGTGTCTTGAGTCTTGATCTTGGTTTAAAGCTAGAGTTGCTTAGGTTATATATGTATTCCAGTTTCAAAATGAATTTCGTATATCTACCTATATTGTACTTAACGCGTTGTAGTGGGTTACTCAGCACCTATATTGTACTTAACGCGTTGTAGTGGGTTACTCAGCATTATCCGCTGACGGTTGCTACGATATGTTTTTCAGGTGATGATCATTAGCTGAGGAGCGCGTTAGATGGACTCGTAGTCTTAGTCTAGTCAGTCCTAACTGTAGTGGTTGGCCTGCGTGCCACGGATTGTAATTGATTGTGAACTTGTGGATTTTACTTGTCTAGATAGTCTTAGCCTGTGCATCTAGGTTCTCAAACCTAGGTGTGGCATAACACCCCGACTCCTATAGATAGCCTATGCTCAGTTTGGATTATTTAATATTAGTCTGCCTTTATTTATAAGTCTTTTAATGATTTAAAAGAATTAGGGGTGTTACATTTGGTCTACAATGCTAAACAGGATACTAAATCCTTGTACATCCAAAAATTTAGTCTACTAAATCCTTGTACATCCCAAACTATGGGGCATCAATTGATTAATCTGCCAACAAGAATATGAAGAAATAATAAACCTAAATATGGTATACAATTACAAATGAAATAATTAATCCGGTATGGACCTTCAAAAAGAAAGGCCCGGGATCGATTCCCATCCCAAGCGTGGGTCGGAATATTGTTGCTAAAGCGATCCTGGGCCTGGGCTCTGCGCCCTGGTCTCGAGGCCCCCGAACCCTAGGCCCTGTGCCCCCTGAACCAAAGGCCCTGTGCCCCCCGAACCAAAGGCCCTGTGCCCCTGAGCCCCCGAACCATGAGCATGGCTCGGATTGTTGAATAAAAATGGTCCTGGCAGAACATGGTACGCTTGGTACTTGGAACCAACGGGAAGTCTGATTCCCGGGCACCAGAACCTGTGTGGGACGTTGTGACGCCGTGTATAACCCAGAACAGGATTACAGGGTCTACGGCGCCCCTGCGTACGGACCGGGGATCTCAACAAGTCCTCTACACCGCAAGGAGGAACAGGGACCCATGCTGTCCCGAGAAGCGCTGCGAGACGTGCCGGAACCTGGCGGGCCGTGATCTAGGTGACACATAGGCGACACCAGGCGTAACAACCAGGGGCAAATGCCTCGGAACTTGGGCGAAACGAGGTGAACCCACAGCACTGGGACGAACCAAGCGACTCCAGGAGCCATCCAATCGTAACGAGCCTCTGCGGAGGCGTCTGATGTAATCTCAAAATGAAAAAGAAAAAAAAACCCCTAAAAAAAAAAGAAAGAAAAAAAAATATACACAAAAAAAAATGAAATAATTAATCTAAATCTAAAATCAATTATCTGGTTTCCTCCCATTAACCTAAATAATTAACTTAATTTGGTCTCACAGACAATGCTCACCTTCAAAAATAGCAGAACCTCCTCCCGCGGTTTCCTTCTGTAACACCCCGAAATTTTTCAACTTTTAAGACTTATATAATAAAGGTAAATTCTCATTAAATCCCAAAAATATAACATAAGAGTACGGGGTGCTATGCCACACCTGAGCTAGAGAACTCAGGTGCACAGGCTAACTAACTAAAATCCTCAATAATGTCAATACATAAGCATGGCACGCAGGCCGAAAGGGAAACTATCTATTCTACGCTCCAAATCTCTAGCGCGCTCCAGTGTTTACTCATCTGTGCCTGAAAGCCAAATATATCTGTTCAGCGAGAGATGCTGGTAACCCACTCCAACGCGTTGAAATATATTATAGATAGATATATATAGATATACGAAAATCATTTCGAAGCAGGAAGATATATACTTAAGAGACACTAGTTTTAAAACCAGAAATAGATTCAGCAATTAGGGATAAGCTCATCAATCAACAATAAACAGTTAAGTAGAGGTAATAGTCATAAGGAATACGCATCTAAGGTCACAGAACATTTTCCATATTTTCAAATCACATCATCACTCAATCACCATTCATATCACATAAACGTTGATGGTGCCACGGGACCAATCGCATGCCCCGAACATGAGGGTTAATGCTTATAGCATTAACACGGCCCCGCAGCACCCTACCTCAGTACCGCAGTATGAGGGGAGTTGATCGCAACCAACCCTTTGAGAACCGATGACGAACTCAACGTCGGACCACGATCCTACACATCGCTGACGCACCCAGTCGGTGGATCGCGATCCCCTTTTCAAGGGGGGACTTACGACCATACACACCGCCGATGGGTACGCCGGTGGACCATAGCGGATCAAGACCGACACACCGCGGAGCTATACTCAGTCGGTGGGCGAAGATCCTCGGAGACTATGGCCCTACACACCGTCGTCCCATCACTCGGTGGGTCGCAGCCAGCCGTAGCCTTACACATCGCCCCGATTACTCGGATCAGTGGAATACAGCCTTCCTCGGCTTATTGGCCCTACACACCGTCCTGGCGCGTTCAGGTCCGGTGGGTCATAGCACCGAGGCCCATGTGGACCGCAGCCCAAGAAGTGAATCACTGACCGCAGCCAGGAGAATGAACCGCAGCTCATCAGTAGCCAAACAGTGGACCGCAGCCCTATATAATATTTATATACCTGACCGATCGCAACCGGCCTGGTTAACAGTTGGTATGGTTCTCATACCCATCTAACTGCCCGTATAGCCAATTTGATCGCAACCAAATTGGGGAATCATGCATCACATAACACGTTATAGCACATAATAGCACATTGGGAAGGGGGAGGCATATAATTAAACTTACTTGTGATCATTCACATACTAAGAATCGTCCTAAGGGGTTCATACGTCTTCCACCTAGGTCAACGGGCTACCAATTCAACTAGCATGCAATCCCTAAGACTCATCTAGCCTACAATGGAACCCGAAACATCAAACTAGACTCAAGCACGACAAATGGGGTCCATTGGGACACCACGGGGAATGGGGAACATCAAACGGGGAAGCCTGGGACCCGGGGTGGGGTATGGACCAGCGGGTAGCTGGTGGGTGGGGGTCACCCGCCGGAGGGCACTGTTCCGAGCAGCGGGTTGCCGGCGGGCAGTCGGCTGCCCGCTGCCGGGCAGTGCCCCTTTGGGCAGCGGGTAGGTGGTGGGTCCTCCTACCCCCACCTACCCCCCACTGACTCTTTTCTCATATATTCGTCCCGGGAACCTTTGTGGAACCCGAAACCATGCTTAGACACTTTTAAACGCAAATAACGACACCACGTAAGCAATTAACGGATCAAAAGCAAGAATCATGTAGGACTTGTCCTATTACGACTTCTAAATATAAACAACACCCGAACATGCGAATTCCCACCCAAATATAAATCAAGAACATCACAATACAAATTCTCAATCCGACCTAGGGCTCTTATCCCGCCCAAATCATCAAGAACATATTTTATCTTTAACATCAAGAAAATATCAAGATTCGTCAAGAATCATCACATCATAATCAAGAACTTCTTTTTAACATCAAGATCATCAAGAAAGCATATAAATCATCTTATCAATCATCAAGAACATAACATAATTATCATAGAAGAATTCAATCAAGACACAAGAATATAGAGGGAGGCCAAGGAAGGAGATTATAGCGAAGAAAATAAGTTTTGTTGAGACATGGGTTACCTCTTAGCCTTAATTAATTTCCTTGGCTATGAAGGATCTTTCTTTAAGACTCCTCTTTTCTTGATTTCTCCTAGGGGAATTCTTGGAACTTCTTGTGTGTGAGATTATTGTGGTGTGGGTTCTAGGTGCCCCCCCCCCCCTATGCCCCCTATTTATATACCTAAGGTCCTAATTAGGGTCCAAATACTATGGGCTTGCTAATTCTATTCCTTATAGGACTAGGGGATTGGTCTTAGGGATAAGGGGCCCATGGACTATGGTGGGCCTTTTCCTAATCAATTACTGGGATTTAATTCTTTCTTTTGGGTAAATGATTAAATGATTAATTGGTTTTAGGGGTCGTAACACGGGGTGTTACACCTTCGATTACTCTCCTTCAGTAGGCCTAACACTTGTAGTTTCCTCCCTTCTCGGCGTACATGCGGTTGCTGTTGACAGGCAAGTCCTACCGGCGGCAGCAAATCCTTCCCTGCGGTTGCTGTTGACGGAGAGGCGCCAGATTAAAAGTTTGAGAAAATTAGATCGGAACTCTAGAATTACCGATTGTAATAGAGAGAAACCAAGCGATGAAGATTGAGAGTAGAGATTTCGACAGTGAGATAGTGAGGACAAGAGAGAGTGAGACAGTGAGTACACAGACAGATAGACGAGAGAATAGGGTTCAGTTTGATTGTCTCTCTAGATCTTTCTTAATGCAATTTTCTTTTATATTTTGTTTTTATTCATTTTATTATTACTAATTACTAATGTATTAATAATTAATAATTATTATTATATTTACTACTCCGTAGTAATAATAATAATAATAATAATAACGAGGATTTCCGACCACCGTACTAAAACAAATTTTAAAAATTCATAGCGCAAAAAAAAAAATTCTGGACTTACTTCTGACCACCCTGGTAAGTGTGGTCGGAAATTCTGACACTTTTTTTGTCCAACTCAACTCTTGACGAAAAATTTGAAAAAATGTCAATTTTCCGACCATTTTTGTTAGTGGTCGGAAAAGTGGTCAAAAAATTGAAATTTCCAGCAGTGTGTTACTACCACCGGACTGCTTCACCGGAAGAACAGGGGAAACACCATTGCCGGGCTCCGATTCTGTTGTCGCTGCTCTGCTTCGCCGAAGGGAACCGAGACCACCGGAGAGGAGACCAGCCACACCAACCATCGCAGCTGCACCAGCTCCGCCGCTCCGTCGTTGTTGCTGCTGGTTCGAGACTCACCAGAAGACCCCACCAACCCACCATTGCTACTCTGCCCAGCTCGATGATCTACTTGGCTGCTTCCAGTCGCTGCTGGCCTATTCCACCATAGATGTTGGCTGTCGAGAAGGATAGAGGGGAAGAACGGTGGTGCTTGAGGTCGCCGTTTTGCTACTGCTTCTGCCTGAGCTGCTTAGCCGACGGAAAATGAGAGAGATGGAGACAAAGGCCGAGAGAGAGGAAAAAGGGAGAGAGACGGAGGGGTATTTGGTTCCTATGTCTGAAGATAGGTTACACAAAATATATCATATATTCATCTATATGACTATATAGGTAGGGTTGCTATATTTAAATTAGGCTAGGCTAAATATAGTAGGTTGGGCTAAGGCAATATATATCTAATGTACTAATAAGAGCTCAAGAGAGTTAGGCCTATAATGTGTAGAAAAAATGGCGGTCAAATTTTTTAATCAAATAAATGGCTTAGATTGATCATATTTTAATTTTTCCTTATGATTTCCTAATTTATCCTTAATGAATATGATTATCCGTTAACTTTTCCGTTAAATATTATCTTTTTCGTTAATTTATGTTAGTTCACCGTTAACTTATTCATTGATTTCAATAAGAAAAGTCTTACGTTCGAACCACATCCCAATCAAAGTTGACATAGTTAGTACTTTGTTTTACTCTTATTAAATTAAATAATAATTTAGTAGCTACAACAAAAAATAATACATATGCATTTCTTTAATTTAGAATTATGTATCATTGTATCTACAATATCTTTATTCAAAAAAAAAATTATTCATTATCAATAAATTAAATAAGAAAAATAATTTCATTAGTTATATTGTATTTATTTTTCTCCAATATAAAAACTCTTTACATTCAAATTCATCAATTGTTATTCAAAAAAAAAATATTCATTATCAATAAATTAAATAAGAAAAATAATTTCATTAGTTATATTGTATTTATTTTTCTCCAATATAAAAACTCTTTACATTCAAATTCATCAATTGATTATATTCGCTACATTGTCCCTACAATGTCATTATTAAAAAAAATTATTCATTATCAATAAATTAATTAAGAGAAATAATTTTATTAGTTATATTGTCTTTATATTTCTCCAATGTAAAAATTCTTTACATTCAAATTCAATTCATCAATTGATTATATTCAGTACATTGTCTATTATCTTTTTTGTACACTATTTTTTTAATTAAATATCAATGTTATAATACAAAATAATGTTATATATTTATTTATCAAGTATTTTATTAATACCTTGAAAAAATTAAAAAATATAATTAATAAAGCCAATCATATTAACTACTTGAGGGATTTGTTGACAAAGAGAGTATTCAAATCACACAACAAATTGAAGTGAGAACTATCTCACAGTGTCCTTGTTTGACAATCATCAATTAGCGGTTAGCGTTAGCAGATTATATTAGCGAATTTAACCAGCGAATTATATCAACGGTTGATAAAAAAGATATTTGAAAAATATTTGCTGTTTAGATATTTGTAAACTTATAATTACCTATTTAAATACGCAAATTTAACATTCAATTATTTATGCATGAACAATTCCAATATAATCTTGCCTTGATATACTTTAAAGTACTTATTTAAAAAAAAAAACATTTGGCATTATCCCAATCGCGTAATGCGCGTAAAAAACTAGTGTATATATATATATATATATATATATTTAGAAAGATGGATTATATATTGGGCTTAACATTTTGGACACACACACACACACACACACACATATATATATATATATATATATATATATATATATATATATATATATATATATATATATATATATTTATTTATTTATTTATATGGGTTATATTTAGGGAAGTTGGATCAAATATAAGACTTTGTATTTTGGGTCATAATGATATAATAAGATACATACATTATAATTGGGCTTGGCTAATTGATACATCGTAGGGATAAAATCAATCGTTATGTTGTGCATCCGGATGCAAAAACAACGTCGTTTTGACGTCTAACTTTAAAAAAAAAAATTAAAATTGCATAATTACACATCCATAATTTCATCACATCTATAATTTCATAACTATACATCCAGAATTACATAACTACACATCCATAATTTCATAACTATAAATCCAGAATTGCATAACTACACATCCATAACTTCATAACTATACATCCATAATTGCATAACTACACATCCATAACTTCATAACTATAAATCCAGAATTGCATAACTACACATCCATAACTTCATAACTACACATCCATAACTTAATAACTACACATCCATAATTGCATAACTATACATTCAGAATTTCATAACTAAAAATCCAAAATGAATGAACTAAAAAATGAATAACATAATGTTGTTGCTGGGAATCGAAACTGATTTTTTTTTAGGTAGGACGCACGTTTTGATGCAAAACGACGTCGTTTTTGCATTCGTATGCACCATGCATAGTGTATACGGATGCACAGCATAATTTGCCGGATAAAATCACTTTGGGTTTAAGATGATTTATCGGCTTAGAATAACCTAATAGGCTTTAGGGATATTTTTACTAAAATATTTATTATTGGGACAATAACTTATTATTATATCCAATATATAATACTAAGAAAATACGGGGTGTCACATGTGGTGTTCAAGGTATTTCGTGTTTTCCTTGATTTTGTTACTTCCTTTTTCTTCGTTTCTATGTTGTTTGTGATGGGTTGCTTTTGATTTTTCGGGTTAGATTGGTTTTTCGGGTTGGGGTCTCGATCTTTTGGGGTTATGGTGTGTTTGCTAGTCTAGGAGGCTATGAGTGGGGACGACGGCTGGCGGTAGTCCGTGTGTGGGTGTGTTTACGACGTGGGGTCTGGGACTTGATGTTGGGGGGTAGTCCGGGTCTAGAGGTGGCGGTAGGTGGTAGTCCGGTGGTCTTGGAGTGGCGTGGAGGGGTGTGCGCTTGTAGGCATTGGTGGATGTAGGCTGGGTTGTGGGTGGTTGTTTTTTGGGTGAGGGGTTTTGGTACTGTATAATCTATTTCATATTCCCATTTCCATGTATAGTATTTTAGTTTTCTATTGTTCTTTGCGTGTGTTATTTATACCCCATTTGCACTGTTGAAGTGGTTGTATGCTAGTCCTTTATGCATCATTATATTCCATTGTGAACAGAAAAGTTGAAACTATATTTTCACAGTTCATTATACAATTATATGCAGGTTAGAACTACTATTTTTATCTAATTTTGCCTATGAAGTTTCCTCTTCTAAATCTCACATAAGATTTGAGGGAAGTTCTATGCTAGGTACATGTTTGATAAATATGCAAAAATAATACTATGAAACTTCCCTATCTGTATCATTCCTTTTGTACTGTTTGCATAAAAAAATTAATTATTATTATTATTATTATTATTTTATTTTTATTTTTTGAGAATGGATTTTTGTATCATTCTCTTGATTGATGGCGTGTGCATCCCTTGTCGGTAGTCTGTGCATATAGTGCAGTGTGTTGGGGGTTCACAGTGTGCATATTTAGTTTGTGGCGTTAGCTTTGTTTTTTGGTATGTGGTGGCTGGGTTTAGTGGAATTGGTAGTGATGGTGCGGCGAGGAGTACGAGCGTGTGATGTGTGCGTCTTATGATGACAATATGTGCATGGGGATTGTGCCTTGGTGTTTGGAATTGTGGGTTGCATTAAAAAGGAATTAATTATTATTATTTTGAGAATGGATTTTTGTATCGTTCTCTTGATTGATGGCGTGTGCATCTCTTATCGGTATTCTATGCATGGGGTGCGGTGTGTTGGTGGTTCACTGTGTGCATATTTGGCATGTGGCGTTAGCTTTATTTTTTGGTATGTGGTGGTTGGGTTTAGTGGAATTGGTAGTGATGGCGCGGTTGGGAGTATGGGCGTGTGTTGTGTGTGTCTTATGATAAAAGTGTGTGCATGGGATTGTGCCTTAGGGTTTGGAACTATAGGTTCATATGGTTTGGTGTTGTGTGCATCCTTTATATAATATTGCTTACGTGTGAGGTGGCGTGGTGGCCGGTGTAAATTGTGTGCATGTTTGATGTGTGTGCGTATATGTTGGTGCAATTATGAGGATTGTGGTGTGCGCATTAGGCATTATGGTGGGATGTGCAGGAAAGAAGATACGGCCTCCTCCGTCTAGCTAGAACCGTACTCGTAGCACCTTTGGTGATGGTGATAATGTCTCTGAGCATACAACAAAGGCAAAAGCTTGTGCAAGACGTACAACCTAAATGACTCACGCACCATGAATAGTTGCAACTGTCTAGAAAATGTTGATTCATATTATTTCGTTTTTGTTTTTTGTTTTTAGATTTGAAGTTGAACTTATATAATAGTGCTTGCATGTGAGGTGGCGTGGTGGTGCAAACTGTGTGCATGTTTGATGTGTGTGCGTA